AATCAAAATGTATGGGGATGACACTGACAAGTGTCAAAATTTACGTCAATTCCATATAATTTGGTTTTCTATTTTCCATGTAGACAAGTGCTAAATGGCATTTAGCTACAGCCGCTGAATTGATGGCATTGACATCTTTATCTGTTTGCCCAACTTTGGCAAAGTCCTCCTTCATTTCTATCCATTCTGCTCGATTTAGCCAAACGCCACTTTAGCGCTTGTCTACAGAGAGAATAGAAAACTAAATGTATGGTAATGACACTGACAAGTGTCAAAATTTACGTCAATCCCACTTAATTCAGTTTTCTTCTCTACAAGTAGTTTCGATTCTCGAAGAACGCATAGATATTAGTGAAGTTTTATATTACCTGATAGAAATGTGAAGTATTGAATCAACTCAAATTGACCCAATAATTTGGCAAACATTGACAATCTACTTTAGAAGTACAACTCGGTCTGTATCTCGAAAACCACTTCAAAGAAGGAGGAGGCAGATTAATAGACATCTGACATAGTACATAACATCTTACAAAATGCGACCCAAATACTGAATGCATCAGCTAATGAATATGTAAACTTTGAAAACGTATATTTAATAGCAATCAAAGCCTCCACAAGTGTGAATAAGGTTATTATTTGCGTATTAATTATACAATTGACAGATTGTACACCATTAATTAGCACCTATGGTCCTATAGTAATGTCTTTTTGTATGGTAATGTAATGTTCGTGATAAATTACTATTGATTCAGCTGGAAGTAAGAATCCTGTGTTTATTTGAAGAGAGATATTATTGTTTGTTTGTGTATGTGTTTAATGTTTTTTTATGGTACAAACTGGTAAACGAGCAGACGGATCACATGATGGTAAGCAATCGGCGTCGTCCATGGATACCGAGAACACCAGAGGCGTTACAAGTGCGTTACCAGGCTTTTGGGGATTAGGAGTTTGAGGATTGTTGGGGATGAATCCCTGAAGGAATTGGGGAGATTGGGGGGCTAATAGGGCCTCCGGTAACCTCACTCACACGATGAAACACAACGCAAGCGTTGTTTCACGTTGTTGGTTTTCTGTGAGACCATAGTATTATTTCGGTGTATCCGGACCATTTGTGTCAGTCAAAAGACTTAAAGATATCTTTTCGATTTCAAATTTCTATTAATTTCTATGTCTATTATAGTCCACTGCTGGACTACAAGCTTCCTCTACATGAGTTGACCCACAGAAAGAATAAATGTGGTGATGATAATAGATGTATTCTATATAGTTTGATTTCATTTGGTTCACGAGACTAATTACTAATTAACACAGATCTACTCAAAAAACAAAAAACGACAGACACGTAATTGTGATAGGAAAGTATGCGATTGTACACACGGCTACACATAAAGCTTTACATAACCAGTATAAACTGAACGTTAAATGTGCGGAAAGATGATGCGACGCGACATCAGGATAAACTGGTTTTGTATAGATTGATGTGTGGCCGTGTGTACGAGTTAAAACAAACAGACAAAGCTTTGATATGAGCTGTGTTTATGTGAAAAGTTTGACGCCTGACGCGTTGTATGAGTTTTGCAAAAACGTTTTAATTACTATGTTAGTGTGAACTATTTAGTTCTATCATTGTAATCACTGTGTATGAACTGCTAACATATGTATTATCATGTCAATTTTATTTCGATGTACAAACGTGTTATCTACTTATCGCAAATTATTCTATGAAATTATGTACGTATTTTAAGTATAACTCAGTTTAAGTATACTTTTCAGTATAACATCACGCGTTTTAACCCGAAGGGGTAGGCAGAGGGACACATTATGCCACTGTACAATGTAACACCCACTTTTTACTATTTATGTTATGAGTCCCATGTAATAGGGGGTTAGCCTATTTCATATACCGGGCACAATTCCAGACTACGTGCTATACTGCTGAGATTTTTTTTAAAACCCAGTAATACTTGCCCGATTCGGGAATCGAACCCGAGACCCCTTGCCCGGCAATCGCACTTGCGACCGATCGGCCAACGAGGCAGTCTTTTAAATATAACTCAATGCTTAAAACTGATAAGTTTATTTAAAATTTAAATAATTAATTCTAGTAAGAAACAACGTAATGCTCGTTCTAAGAAACGTTCCAACCAAAATAGACGTTACAACTCTTTGGTTGCCACCTATCCTATAACTATGTCGCAGAGAACCTAACGGGTAACAGGGGCTCCGGCTCGACATGCAGGGGAAGGAACGGGGTGGTTTTTAGTCAGCAAGAGTCTGACACTCCCTCCCGCCACACCCAGGCGGGAGCAGTCATTCAATGATTTTCCCCCCTTAAAAAAATCCTATAAACATATAGAAGAAATTTATACATGAAAAAAGTAACCATTTTGAGTTTTGTCATCAAAAAGTGCTATATGAAAATTAATATTAAGCATTAATTAATCTTTTTGGTTGACAAATGTGCAGAATCGTTAATCTCCCTTCTGCAAAGCTGTTTGAAACCGACAAGACAACGTTTCATTTTCTGAACGCTACTGACGTTGTGAATTAGGTTAATCCTTTACTTTGCTTGTCAATAAAATGTTTAAAGGTGTATTCATGTTGAGAGGGGTTTGTAAGATTAATAGAAAATAGATTAATTTAATATTGATTTAGTTATTAATGGGTACAGGTTGCTTCCAAGAGGCTGATTTGGGAATCAATGAGGTAATCATTTCGTTACGAAAACAAAGACATGAATTCCTGTCTCTGGGACGTATGATGGTTGTATCTACTGTAGATCCTAGCTTACAGGAGTTGCAGAAGTTTTGGAAGGTTATGAATTTATGACAGACTTGTCAAAAAAAAGTCAATAAGGGAAGTTTATGTTCTGCAGAGGTGGTTTTGTGCCTGATATTGATATGTACGATATTTTGATAAAATTTCCAGGTTAGGACAAGTTTTTGTATTAAAAAATTCTCAGTATTAGCTAGGTGTTCGGTGTTCTGTCGCAATAGACTTATCCACACAAAACATATGAAAGCCTTCATGCCTTCAAAGTCTTTTTTTTAAACCTTGCCCCACACTAGGATTATCTCCTGTGTCGTGGGTGCGTTTACAAACATACAAGTTCACATACATATGAAACCCAGACCCGAAACAACAATTTGTGGATCACACAAAGTGTTGTTCCGTGCGGGAATCGAACCCGCAACACGTTGCACGGCAGCCAGTTGCCCAGCCACCGCACCAACCGTGCAGTCTTAATCATGTTATTTCATTGCTGCCTCAAATCCTCATCTTATACATAGAAGACTTTTTTTATTGAGGTTGGAGAATCATCCAATAACTTCTCCCTCTCGCCTCACCCGGGCGGGTGAGGCGAGAGGGAGTGTCAGACTCTTACTGACAAAAACCACCCCGTTCCTACTCCTGCCCTTCGAGCCGGAGCCCCGACAACCCGTTAAATCTTCCGCTGCTCCGTATCGACTTCAGCCCTTTTGGGCCTAATAACTGGCGGAATTTGGAAGTACCATTATGTAAATCTCGGGTAGTTAATACGTACATAAAAAGCTGTTATGCTTTAATGTTTGTAAACCACATATTTCCAAACGTTAATATTTCCAAAACACACAATTATGAACGCACCTTTACAAATTATGAAGCTTAATTTGTCCATTTGTACATTTAAAGCAAAATCGTGGTCCTGCCGCCATTTTATAATTTCCATTTACAGATACTTGTCAATGGGAACGATTTAATGTATAACAAATTGTTGCAATTTACCCTATTTATTATGGAAACTGTTTCTGTAATGTTTGCAATTGTAATTATGCCATAATTTCTCAGTTGACATAATTATTTCTGTCACTATCGATGTTTGAATGGTTGCTTTAATTCCGGATTGCAATTATGTATTTTGATCAATTTCTCGCCTTCGAATTACGCGTATTTTGTTTTTACATACTGTAGGATTACGTAGTTAGTTGTCGGCGTTTGGTGTTTAGGAAGAGAACAATGTTTATGTGGATCACACTGTTTATTATTATTACCCTCAAATGTTCTTAATGTCAACTAATCTAGGATGAAATGTTTAAATGTTTGAATGCACCCGGTTGTCGCGGTAGACGAAAGTGCACTGAATATATTGTAATACATATTCACTTAAAACGGCGAGTCACGCCGATATTGCTGAATACGGTGTTCGATGAAAACCTTGAACACATACATTGTAGACTGTGTTTGATCATTTGCTTCTATAAGTGCATCAGTGTTACCACGTATTTTTAACCGACTTCAAAATATAAGGATTTTCATAGTTTGACCTCTATGTATGTATGTTTGTGTGCAATTATCTCGCAATTAGCTGAACTGATTTTAATGCGTTTTAGAAAAGTGTTTGTTGCATTTTAGAAAAGGTTTTAGTATGTTAATTAACCGACTTTAAATAAAGATGGGTTTGGAGTCGTCTTTTTTAAACGTAGTTTATAAAATAATTGTCACTGACAACACGGTTAATGCGGTGGCTGGACAACTGGCTGCCATGCAACGTGTCGCGGCTTCGATTCCCGCACGGAGCAACTCTTTGCGTGATCCACAAATTGTCGTTGCGGGTCTGGGTGTCATGTGTATGTGAACTTGATGTTTGTAAACGCAACCACAACACAGGAGAAAATCCTAGTGCGGGGCAACGTTTTATAAAAAAAAAATATATTTAGTAAAATATTACACGAGGAAAAGGTTTTGTTTGCAATCCGTTATTGCTTTTTAGGACATCTGGAATGACAATTAACCTTACAAGATCTAAGAACTATCAATCTTGTATCCTACTTGTTTCTGATAGACTTGTTGGTTTTGAGGTATTAAGTACAAACAATTTCTAGTTATTAGTTCGGTTTGGCTTCCTAAATTAAAGAAAACCGAGATTATAATTATAACACTATGTCCTGACAAAAAACGATTATGAATGCCGTATTAATGACGTCTACTAATTCTTAATTTATTCTTTCCAGGGTCTCGTCATGTCAAGCGGTAGTTGTTCGGGGCCCGGCGTGTGCGGGGGTGCCCGACGCAGGCCCCCTCCACCGCCAGAGCCGGCCCTGTCTCTAGCTGCCGACCTTAGCGAGCTCAGTCTCGACCAGGGCTACCACACCCTCGCCGACTGCGGCCCACCGAGAAGAAGAAGGGATAATACTCTTAATGATGCCCTGTGGTTGAAGATTTTGTCTTATCTTGAGGTTTGTAAAATAGACGCTTTTTTTTAAATCTTACTTAGACCAAAGTAAATATGTTAAAATAGACTAAAAATTTGATAGTCTTAAACAAGTACGTTGAAAAAAGGGCGGACGTAATGTCACTTAGAAACGATCGAAGCATCAAAATATCAGTGATGTTTTTATGTGTGCGTGTATTTGCAACACCGTAATTTATGAAGTGTAATGACGAGCTTTGTCAAACGACAGATGCCCTTCGTGTCAATGTGTGTGTATTCTGCGTGTAAGTCTATAGTAGCCAGGTGCCACAGTCGTTGTTTTAAAGAGATGACGTCTGCCTGTTTTCAACGTCCTTGGTCTAAAACTGGAAATATGTCTCAACTGTTTGTGTGTCATTTTAAAACAGGTCGATTTCCACAGAAAAACATTAAACATCATCCAATAATACCTTTCTTACAGTCGGGTAAATATCTATTATTTAGAAGGAGAGGGTCGATGTTTATTTTCGCCAGTTCCGATCATAACCCCATTGTAATAGAGAATAAGTTTGTGTACCAAACATTGGGCTCAATGCCTAAGAAACTTTAAATAAGATAGAGGTCATCAGGCGATCCGAACACACGTTTGTGCATTCACATAATTTTTTTTTTCAATCAACCGCGAATTTTTTTCGACACCGCTGTAACGCTGTAAATTTAGTTAAATTTTTTACTTATCTTTATATATATGTTCTGTGAGTTTCTTCTGTGAGTGTGTATGTCACTGAACTTCTCTCAAACGACTGGACCGATTTTGATGAAATTTTTTGTGTGTGTTCAAGGGGATCTGGGAATGGTTTAGATTTACAAATCAGCCCGGCAGATGACGCTGCAGTCGATGTTTAGGTTATTCATCCTCAACAGCTGAACTAATTTAAATGAATTTTTGTTTATACATTCAAGTGGATATGCAGGACAACGTCTGTTGGGTCCGCTAGTTATAATTATAAATCTGAAGAGTTTTTCAATCGCAATCAAATTTCGCGAATCTCCAAAACTACTGGACCGATTTCAATTGTTTTTCCATTGTAGGTATAGGATTTATCGAGGAAGGCTATAGGATCCGAGCAGCATATAAACTCCGCGGAAATAGTTTGTAAATAAATACTACAGGTATCTTTCAACGGTTAGCAATATTGAGAGAGTTTTTGAGAGCTTTTCGTACTAAATTATATTCACAAGAACACTGTTCACAGGTATCAGACCTCTGCCGAATGTCTCGAGTATGTCGACGATGGGCGAGGCTCACCACACGGCTGATCACGAGGCCAGAAGCCTGGAAGAAGGTCAGAGCAGCAGGTCCCTTGGAGATCGCAGCCAGATGTGCTGGAGCGAGGGCAGGTCCTTGCGTTAATTCTGTCAAGGAATGGCGGTCAAAAAACTGTGCGGTGAGTTTTGAGAAGTTTTTTTTTAAATATATTATCTTGTGCCTCATTTTAGTGTTTTCTTCAAATTTAACATAACATAACACATAACGTCACGCCTTATATCCCCGAAGGGGTAGGCAGAGGTGCACATTATACCACTGTACAATGTAACACCCACTTTTCACTATTTATGTTATGAGTACCACGTAATAGGGGGACTCATCTTAGAGATTGCCATATACCGGGCACAATTCCAGACTCCGTGCTACTACTGAGAATATTAAAAAAACCCAGCAATACTTTGCCCGACCCGGGAATCGAACCCGATACCCCTTGCTTGTCAGTCGCACATACGACCACTCGACCAACGAGGCGTTTTTCGAATTTGTTGGTGTGATATTAAACAAATTGAATATAAAATTACCTATACCTTCCCCGTCAAATCATGAACTAATCTTTATGCAATTCTTCAGGTAACAATAGCAAGTGCCCAGCTGCTGGCGGCCACGTTCAGAAACCTGACGCACTTGGCTGTGACGGGATCCAGTAGCATGGACGCCAGAGCCATGGCGCCCCTCATCACAGACCTCACGGATTTGAGGCATATAGACCTCACAGGTGATTAACAAAAATATCCATCCCTTATATTTATTACTTCTTTGGTCAAAGACTAGTTTCGCTAAAAAGTTAAGTTTGTGTAGTTGAAATAAAAAACCAATGACTGCGTTGTTTTGGTGATTAAAAACGCATCTGCAAATCATCCTCGATTCCAGAGAAAGATAACAATATTTACTTACCGCTTCAAACATAAACAGATGTTATGTAAAAGTTAAATATATCTAAATAGGTACACATTTTTGTATTCGACATAATCTCTTTAATAAAAGCCCCAAAATATAACTGAGGAGTTAGAACTGGTTAACTTTAACTACAGACAGCAAACAGTATTTAAATAAAAACAACAGAATTAAAGTAAATGCTTTCTAAATAGTGTAAGCCTTGTTTATTTGCGATAGCTCCGAAAGGCCGAGGTAGGCTAATTTCCCTGAAGTCAGGTCTGAGTTGTCTAAACAATGAATGTATAATCGTGTCAATGTCTAGAAAGGGTCCAATGTCATAGGGCCAGCTGTAAGCAAAACTGAATTTGATGGTCGAAAAAACATGACAAGAAATAGGTACACAGCCGATAAAAGGGTTATAGTTCTATTAAAGGGTTAAGAGCAAGGCTAAATGTATCACAAGTAAAGTTCTTGGCATTGAAATACTAATATGTATTTTGAAATGTTGATCTAGAATTTATGCAGACTTGCTAATTTTTACTAAAAATCGCGGGTTACTCAAATGAAATGAAATGAAACCTTTATTTTTAGACATACAAATAATCGTTTAAGAGTTTAAATCAATAAGTTCATTAATCAATTTAATGAATTACATGTCAATATTTTTCGTCAAAAAGTCAGATGAAGAAAACTACATAGTGCATAATAAATCATAATAAATTGATTTCAATAAGTAGATAATTAATGTTTTATTGACTTACTCACGTGAATATACTGAGAAAAGCTCTACTAGTTTCGAACCACAGAGGGGTTCTTCCTCATGAGCAGCGTGCGCGGTCGCTGCGATGTCGCGCAGCGTACTGCTGGTAGTAGTACTGATAGGCTAGTAAAGCATTTCTCAGTACATTCACGTGAGTAACCCGCTATTGTTAGTTAATTTAGTATGTCTCACGATAGTTATTATAAAAACACAGACAGCTAATAGTTCAGTAGTGGACTGTCGCCTGTTAATGATCATAACCAAGATCTGGTCAAACCGTCAAGTGGAACACAATACGTCTTATAAAGAATTCGTACCTACTAACATAAATAGTTTTGCTAAAATAAATATAAAATCTCACAGAAAACCGACGTGAAGCAACACTTGCGTTGTGTTTCGTCGTGTGAGTGAGGTTACCGGAGGCCCAATTACCTTCCCCTTCCCCAATCCCCCCAATCCCTGAATCCCCAACGCTTCTCAAACTCCTAATCCCCAAAAAGCCGGTGACGCACTTGTAACGCTTTTGGTGTTCCAGGTGTCCATGGGCGACGCCGATTGCTTATCATCAGGTGATGCGTCTACTCGTTTACCGGCTTATGCTATAAAAAAATCAGGCCTAGATACAAGCTTTCAAACAATCATTCATCAGACCAATATAATTTTACACAAAAGAAACTATCTAACAGCGAACGAGACAGCCGTAAGTCTCAGTCGCTTCCAATAATGAGAATAGTCTTAGGGTAAGGACTCACTGCGCGATGTTCTCCCGCGCCCACCGCATTGACGGCATTGAGGTGGAATTTTCAAAACTCATGAGACCGCACTTTTCTGTGATCCCACGCCACGGTTGCGATTATCGCTCGCAAAGTTGGCGGTTGATTATCGCAAGACCGGCCGTCCCATTGCGATCGCCCGCCCAACCGATCGAAAAGCGCGCGGATGCGGGATCGCGGTCGCGCCCGCCGGTGCAGCGGGACCCGCAACCAATCCCAACTACCGCGGGCGTAATACGCGCCCTGAAAATTACTTAGATTTTTTACATACTGTGCACTACATACGGCGCGTCGCGTTCTGAGCGCGCCTCAAAGAGCCATCAGACCACCACAGATGGGGCCCAACAGGGCCGATGCCGATTCGGAGTCGCGAAGAACCTAACGGGTTACCGGGGCTCCGGCTCGTCGTGCAGGAGAAGGAAAGGGGTGGTTTTTAGTCAGTAACAGTCTGACAGTCCCTCCCGCCTCACCAAGGCGGGAGCAGTCATTCGATGATTTTCTAACCTTAAAAAAAAAAGGTTGCGGGCCCGCAACCGCGGAGGGAACGCCAAAAAATCGTGCTGTTAGTCCTCAGCCTTACATTACTTGCCTCAAATCTACAGGGAAATTAAGTTTCATTCTACAGGTGTACAGAATCAATATTTATTACGCTTTCTTAATAATAATTTATCATAGAAACTAACTCAAGCCTACAGCTAAGCCAAAGTTTCAATTTTCTAAGTTAGGAATATTGGTTTTATAATAAAGTTTCCAAACTTGTTCCTTTGAAGTTACGTTGTGTGTAGTTATTGGATATTGTAATATGTTTGCGAACTATTTCTATTTAGTTGTAGATTCGTTTTGTTTACTTTTTATTTAATAGGTGTTTTACTTGTGAAATTGCCGTTCAGCAGTACTGGCCATTACAAACCAAAATAATTTTTGTTTGGCTAAGAATTCTTATTTAAAATAAATTTTATTTTTAAACACATTAATTTTTTTTAAAGTAGTTCATTCATTTGTGTATTGATAAGTGTTACATTTTTATTGCATTTCAATCTGTTTCGTCGTCATAGATACATATGTACGTTAAAAATTCGAATAAGTAATTATGGAAAAAACAATAATCTTTAACTTTTTAAGTCTAATAGTTATTTGCTGATGTATCAATTTGATATGATTATGACGAAGTAACTATTATAACCTTATCAAGCACCTGTAAAGATTAAAGCATAGTTTTGGCATTGATCACATAAAGACTAACTGGACAATAATCGACAGTGGCGCCATGCGCCAACTAGTCACCAAAAATCATAACCCAAAGCTTTAACAGTTAATGAGGCATCTTCTCTATTTCTCAGGTTGTCCAAACGTGGACTGGCCAGACTGGGCGTGGTTGGAGACGCGTCTGGCGACCCGAAGGCCTCCCGTGGAGTATATAGACCTCACAGACTGTGGGTCGGTGACGGACGCTGGACTCTGCGCGTTGCTGCACACATGCCCTTCTCTGCAGTATTTGTACCTTAGGAGATGTACTCTAGTCACAGGTTGGTATAGGCCTCTATATATTAGAGTTCTTGGTGACCTTTTAATTAGTTGGGCATGTTTTGCGTGTCTGGTACCCGTAATGAAGATGACCATTCTTTAAAAAAGGTACTCTAAAGTTCTTTTATTACAATATGGTCCCAATTTGTTATTACGATTTGTACTTTATACTGACGTTAAAAGGTTGACATCCAATCTAGCGGTGGAGAACTTAACGGGTTACCGGGGCTCCGGCTCGAAGTGCAGGAATAGGAACGGAGTGGTTTTTAGTCAGTAAGAATCTGACACTCCCGCCCGCTGCACTCAGTCGGGAAAAGTCATTCAATAATTTACCCCGCCTTAAAAAAATCAATGAACATAACCATCTTGTAGAAAGTAAAACGTTGCCTCATGCTAGGATTGTGTGTCGTGGGTGCGTTTACAAACATATACATACACATGACACCTAGACCCGAAACAACAATTTGTGGATCACACAAAGAGTTGTATATTTTTTTCTTTACTACCCGAGGAATCTGTATATCATTCATCTCTTTAGTAGTAACCTGGATTTGTATGTACGAAGGATAAGCAGGCACTCTACCAATATGATACAAACAACAAATAAATCATGAGAGTGGTTACATTTTGCTCTTACCTTTCGGAAACAAAATAGGCATATCCTTTTGTTATATGTAAGTGCTGTAGTCATCCTAATATTTTACCAAAACACTAAAAGTCTGACTCAGTTCGGAATCAAAACGTAAGACGTAACAATCTTGTTATTGTGTCAGTCCTTCGCTTTTGTTCTGAATTTTAATATTCTTCTGGGAAAAAATATTTCAAAAGAAAAACAATAAAATAGATATACTGTGATTGTCCAAATACGTAAAGTTGTTTTTGTTAGAATCAGTCAGGCGTGCCAAAATGTCTAGCTTTTAAGTATGACCTAAGTAAATTCTGACTGACATAGACCTAGAATTTATGACACTAACACAAGCCTAGTTTTTTGATGGCAGTAAATCCTATTCAGACGTTATATAAAAATGTTTGTGGGGCATATAGTGAAAGTAAGGTTGAAGTAGATTTTCCTTTGTGCTTTTGCCAACAATGCTGAGATTAAATCTGTCTATCCAGTTTTAGGAAGAAATGAATACGAGTAGACGACATTTTTTATTTAAGTAAGTCAATTGTTTTCAGTTAGTTCCAATACTCTACAAATGAAGTAGTAAATCTATGGAAAAGAAAAAAAAATGCAATAACATTATCACATACATAACATCACGCCTTTTATCACCGAAGGGGTAGGCAGAGGTGTATATTATGCCACTGTACAATGTAACACCCACTTTTCACTATTTATGTTATGAGACCCATGTAATAGGGGGTGAGCCTATTGCCATATACCGGGCACAATTCCAGACTCCATGCTATACTACTGAGATTACGAACCCGAGACGAGTTGCCCGGCAGCCGCACTTGCGACCACTCGGCCAACGAGGCAGTCAAAGTAACAAAATTTATTATAACCTAAATTACTCTTTGCTTACCCCTCTGACTGAATTTTAGCTCAGTAGTTGACTGAAATTAATGATCATGAATAAGGTTACAAGTCAAGTTTTAATATTCGATCCCAAAGATCACAATAACCCACATCAAACAACAACAGCCTGACTAATAAGGCTCTATATTAAGTACACTAGCTTTTACCCGCGGCTTCGCTCGCGTCACAAAAGGATAAAAAGTAGCCTATGTGACTATCCATCCGTTCAACTACCTTCAGTTAAAAAATCACGTTAATTAGTACCTCTGTTCTGCCGTTTAAGACAGGCAAACAAACAAATAGCTTTCCGCTCGCGTGGAATTCGGTTATATCGCCCTATTTAGATTTTTCCAATAAGTAGGTAATTCGTTGACTGGTTTTTAAATGACATACAACGCCATCTATACCAGTACATACAGCGCCATCTATACCAATATTTTTGTTTTTACTAGGAAATATCATTTTTTTCTGGGATAAAAAGTACCCTATTATTTAATCCAGACTTCTAACTTTACGTCTGCAAAATTTCAAAGCAATCGGTCTAGTAGTTCACCGGGCGGAACAAACAAACAAACTCACTTTCCGATTTATAATATAAGTAAGGATATAAAAAAGGATTTTCTAAAATCAACTAACCTACTATCCTGTTAATTTAAATGGAAAAGCGTTAAACTGTGAGTACTCTATCATCTAGGCTTACACGTCATAAAAAGAAAGAGGTTGACATTAATTGGACGAGCCAGGTAAATTATGTTATCATACAAGTGAAAACACGGGACATAAATGTTATATATGGCTATGAAATTGCACTTAATTTTCTTTGGTTGGTTTGGTTTTTGAATAAGTAATAATATTGAAACATTAGTGTTATATATTAATTTGTGCTCTTCTGCTTATTCCATGGAGTAAAATGCGTCATTTTATTTTATTAGTTTTAGAAAGCATTTATATAGACTGATGACTGTTGACGACTGCCTCGTTGGCCGAGTGTTTGCAATTGCAAGGGGTCTCGGGTTGGATTCCCGGGTCGGGCAAAGTATAACTGGGCTTTTTCAAAAAATCTCAGTACTAGCACGGAGTCTGGAATCGTCCCGGTATATGGCAATAGGCTCACCCCCTATTACATGGGACTCATAACATAAGTAGTGAAAAGTGGTTACATTGTAAAATGGCTACTGAGTAAGGTTTGATGCAAAAATATTACTGAGTAAAATGTAATTTTTTTATACAAACTACAGCACTAGTTTTCGAACTAGTTACACTATTAAAGTGAACAGCTTTATCAATATTTCTAAGAACAGATCATACCGTTGGTTCAAATAAACTACACTTAAAGTCAGAACCGTTATCGTTGATAAATTACAAGTTCCGAAGCGGACATTAATAAGATTATTATTCAGAAAAACATCAATGTAATCGCTATAATCCGAAAGGAACGTCTATATTAGATCGGTTGCTCTACTCAACTGGTGGAACTAGATTCGAAAGCAGGTACTAATAATTGCTAGTCTAGATTTTCACACAGGATTTTCTTGTCGCTCGAGCGTGATCTTTGGTGTGGTTTGGAAACCTTATGCGCTCTATAAAAAGCATTGATGGTGTGATGGTGGTTTGAAAAAGCATTCGAAGATTTTTTAGATGAAAGTGTGGTGAGAACGAAACTGTCTGTATGTTTCTTTGAGGTGTATTTTATTAACATCAGACAGTGAGTTGTTTTTTAAAGAAAAAAAGGTTGTCCCGCACGTTTCTCCTGTATCGTGGGTGCGTTTACGAAGAAATACAAATTCACGTACACATGACACTTAGACCCAAAACATTAATTTGTGGACCAAACAAAGAGTTGCTCCGTGCGGGAATCGAACCCAAGACACGTTGCAATGTGATTGGACAAAATAACCTATTCCTACAGCAAAAATACAGTTGCTCCCGTTGCCACGTGGTCTGAAAAGACCCTTGTCAGTTCTAAAGAGAAACATACACAGTAATTAAAGTGATTCAAAACCACAATACAACACTTAATTAGCATAATAAAGTAGGCGATATGTAATTAGAGATCTTTTTAAAACATTTGGCTTTATACCTGATTACCTGAAGCCAAACCTGTTAAGGATAAGGGTATCACTTAGACCCTTGTACTGTGATATTATCCTTACTAATATTATAAATCGGAAAGTGAGTTTGTTTGTTTGTTCCGCTTTCACGCCGTAACTACTAAACCGATTGCTTTGAATTTTTGCAAACGTAAAGTTAGAAGTCTGGATTAAATAATAGGGTACTTTTTATCCCGGAATAATTGATATTCCCGAGGGAAAACAAAAGTATTGGTATAGATGGCCCTGTGTGTATTGGTATATTATTATATCACAGGCTACTTTTTTTCCTTTTGTGACACGAGCGAAGCCGTGGGTAAAAGCTAGTTTCATATAAAGTACAAAGACCAGTGGGTCAAGCTAACCCTTTCTGTCTTCATTAGATTTTCAACCTAATTGTTTTGATATATAGTTGAAAATTTATTGACAAATATTCAAAGATGTGAGTAGGTTGAAGTGTTGTACTATACTTATAATAAAGTCTAATAAAATCTTTTAACTGAGAAAATAAATAAATGTTACCTTGTTAATGTAATGAAAACAAAGGGATGAATAAGACAGGGGATCATATCGAACAAATATTATAATTATTTACCTACTGCCTCGTTGGCCGAGTGTTCGCAAGTGCGACTGCCGAGCATGGGTTTTTAAAAAAATCTCAGTAGCAGCATGAAATTTGGAATTGTGCCTGGTATATGGCAATAAAATCATCTCCTACTACATGGGACTCATTACATAAATAGTGAAAAGTGGGAGTAACATTGTACAGTGGCATTACGTGCCGTATTGTGTTTTGCCAACCCCTTCAGGGTTAAGGTGTGATGTTATGTTATGTATGAAAATGTAATGAGGTACTGACCTCATTAGACTGTTATACTGATAACAGTCTTTTCGGGCATTACAACCCAGTAATAGTTTGCCCTACACTGGAATCGAACCCGAGACCCCTTGCTCGACAGTTGCACTTACGACCACTAGGCCAATGAGGCAGTAAATTTTCATAAGTTAGCAAATAATGAAGGTCGCTTTCTAGCTACCAATGAGTGAAAAGTGCACGCTTAATTGAACAAAATTTGCACCTCTGCCTACCCATTTGCAGAAAGATAACCGTGAATTAGTGGCGCGTAACTTGAGACCGACTCTGTGATTTAGTATGAGAAAACTTGTAATAGAAAACCGCTGGTTCTTAAGAACGAATGCACTATTAATGAACGAACGCTATAAATAGCGAAGGAAATAATTTCCGCTCTGTTGGTCAATTATCAGGTCGAGAAAAGTATTATCCGAGTTATGTGAGAAAGAAAGAAAGAAAAACTTTATTTCACATGCTAAAACAGATGACACATACAGATTTTACACATAAGTTTACAAATACCTACTAATGTCCCAAGTCTGCGGTGAAATGGGACCAGTTCAGCATGTGCAAGGCAGGGCTAAGTGACTCGCGGGTGACACTCGGTGAGAAATAGTCATGACACTAATGTGACAACAAGGTCTCTCCGGTCATGTTATAACCCCTAATTTGATAAAGTCCGGTGTATTGGACGTCAAACAAAATTAAATCCTACTAATTATTCAGATTCTGTATTATTACATAACATAACATCACGCCTTTTTATCCCCGAAGCCGAAGGAGTAGGCAGAGGTGCACATTTCGGCACTTAATGCCACTGTACAATGTAACACCCACTTTTCACTATTTATGTTATGAGTCCCATGTAATAGGGGGTGAGCCTATTGCCATATACCGGGCACATTTCCAGACTCCGTGCTACCACTGAGATTTTTAAAAACCCAGTAATACTTTGCCCGACCCGGGAATCGAACCCGAGACTCCTTGCCCGGCAGTCGCACTTGCGATCACTCGGCCAACGAGGCAGTATTTAATATTATTTTGCTAATTTTCTATAGTAACACGAATCCTAAAGATTGTGCCTGGTAAATGTCCAGCGAGGGTTCGACACTTTGTGTGGTTCACAAATTCATTGTTGTTTCGTGTCTGGGTGTGATGTGTATGTGACTTTGTATATTTGTAAACGCACCTATCACTCAGGAGCAAATTGTAGTGTGGAGCAAAGTATTTATTAAAATAAAAATGGCAATAGGTTCGCCCTCTGTTACCTATATCTACAATTACAATAATATTCCTCTTTAAACCGTTTGAATATTCACCTATCTACTGTTTAAAATAATTAGCAACTCTGTCTGGGATCAAACTCGATACTTATTCAAACATTTCCAACTTAATAAATCTCTATAAACCATTACAAATGCCCAATAAACTGTAATAAACAAATATAATGGCGTGATTTCTATCTCATTTCACTTATATTCAAATACTCAAACGCCATTCAATTTTAAAACGCTCTCAAGAATAGTTCTGTCGCTACCAATGCTTAGTAAAATGAAAGAGATAGCATGATTAAAATTTAAAATTGTGTAGCATTTCTGTATGCGGGCGTTAGAAATCTAACTAAAGGACGTTTCACTTGAACAATTAAACACAATCAGTTAGGATTCCGTTTAACATCTTAATTAATTTAGCCATGTTCGCCTTGTAAGGCTTGGCTATAAATCTCTGAACCATGGTCTGTAGAGTCGGAAACACAAGATTTGTGGGGCCTTGAACTTTGGCAAGATTTTCGTAATGGGAACATAGGGGATTAGTGGTCGTTCCATAATTTTGGAATGGTAATTAATATAAGAAAGCGCATTCTAGTAAGAAAACATGGACTATGTGTTCTGAACTGAATATTTTTAAATGTGGAGGAGCCATGCTTCGGCACGAATGGGCCGGCTCGACCGGAGTGGTACCACGGCCTCACAGTAAACCGACGTGAAACAACGCTTGCGTTGTGTTTCATCATCTGAGTGAGGTTACCGGAGGGCCTCCTCCCTCCCCAATCCCTGAATCCCCAACAATCTTTAAATTCCTAATCCCTAGAAGATCGGTAACACTTGTAAAATTCTGGTGTTCCGGGTGCCCATGGGCGACGCTGATTGCGTACCATCAGGTGATCAGTCAGCTCGTTTATGGGCTGATCCCATAAATTTTTTTTGGTAATGGGCACCCAGTAATAAAGCTTTTCCTGATGACTGTCAAACTCAGCGGTAGTGTTTTCTTGAAAACGTAATGAAATATTATTGTAATACAAGTATTCTTACGGTTGGTTTATGATCACTTGTTTCTTATCATGACTGAAGAAAAGATTCAATGACTAAAGTGCTTTGGGTAGCATCTGGCTGGATACCGGTCGCTTCAACCGGTCAATCTGAACGGAATTGGGAGGGGCCTATGTCCTATGTTCTGCAGTGGACGTCTTGCAGCTAGTTTATTATAATGTGTACCATCTTAATTCTTTATTATCCGTCGTGTGTCTAAACGTGCATCCACGCGAGATACAACGTATTTTCTATTGTGTCTCATATCGGTGTATTCAAGCGGTTAATAATAGTTTATTTTCCTTATTATTTCCAGATGCAGGCGTTCGGTGGATCCCATCGTACTGCGCGTTAAAAGAGCTCAGTGTGTCCGACTGTACAGGTGTCACGGACTTCGGGCTGTATGAGCTGGCGAAACTAGGGCCGGCGCTGCGATACCTTTCTGTCGCTAAGTGTACCCAGGTGAGCAGAAACCTAGACTTGTTTACCAAAAAACATTGAAAAAGGTTTAGCTTAAACTGAACTTTTCTATTAAAGATCCTGATAAGGAACTGGATATAACAATACGCTTGTGTTCCCAAAAGACAGGTGTACTTAGAGCAAATTGAGGTTTTACATTGGTTCTATCACATTAATATTAAAATTGTGAAAGTTTCTTTGTTTGGTGTTTGTCCGGCAATCACGCTGAAAATAATGAACAGATTTTGATCAAATTTGGTATCAATAGGAGCCGAGCAGAGCGGGTGGTATAAATCTAAAATGCAATCAAAGAACACTAGCTATGATTATAAGCTTCACACTGATGTACTTAACATTTACACTTAAAACTACTTAGAGCAAGGCCCGCAAGGGTTAGAGCACACAAGGGTAGAAAAAGGCTAAAGGAGAAGAAGAAAAAAAAGGGCAAGGCCCCATTCGTCCATTGTGCTGCGTTGCATCGCGACGTCGCGTTGCAATGTAATTAATTAAATCAATTTAGACTAGTAGAATGCATTTATGTCAGCTTGGAGTTGTCATACTCATTCAAAGATCTCGTTGGTGGTGCCATGTGCATTGGATGGCTTGATTCCCTACAAAATGGTTAGAAAGAAAAGAAAAAAGAAAACGAACCAATAAAACTATGTAACTAGAGAATTGTATTGTGAACCTGATTGAAAAAGTTATCCTACCTATGGAGTTGCTTGCTCGTTCTTCTCCATAGGAATCTACGCCTTGGAATGAGTAACTAGCTTCACTTATAAATTTTTCTTGTTTGACGTGCCATCCTGGTCTAATTGAAATAAATGATTTTGACTTTGACTTTGACAATGGAACAACGCTTTGTACGGTCTACCGCGACGACGCGACGCACGACAGCGCAGTTGCATTTCAGAAACAAACGTGTTGACTGTCCGTCGACGCAGAAAATCACCCTGCTTCCCGTTTCATCTCTTGTCCGACCAATGGGGCATGCCATATAAAAATGATAGAAAACGACACTTCGACGACACAACGTAACGGAACGGACAAGTGGGGCTTCGCTCTTACAAGGAAAATTCAGTAAAGTAATTAATTAATTACGTTTTAAATGAGAATGGTAATCTTAAATAAACTTCAGAAAGAAAAACGGCACGTGTAAACATGTAATGAAATATTTAATGACATTTTGTATTATATAGGATTGATTGCCTGTTAGGACTATATGTATATAGTATAGTACCTAGTATAGGAGGTTATATAGGACTGACTGTTAGCCGAGTAGTTGCTAATGCGACTGGCGGCAAGGGGTCTCGGGTTCGAACCCAAGACCCCGGGAATCGATTCCCGGGTCGGGTAATGCACTATTAGATTTTTTTTAAATCTCATTAGTAGCCAGGAGTCTGGACATGTGTCTGGTATATGGCAATAGGCTCACCCCCTATTACATGTGGGAGTCATAACACAAATAGTGAAAAGTGGGTGTTACATTGTACAGTGGCATTCGATTCCCAGATTATACACAGTAATAAGGAAACACTGTGTCTAATCTGGGAATCGACTGTCCATTGGCAATCGGAATGGGAAAACTCCCAGACGCTGCTTGAGGTTGTACTTGCAATAATACTTTTATCGACTTCGAAATAAAACACGGACTGGGCACTGGATCATCAAAAATATCTCGAACAGAAAACCAAATAATAGATGATAATCGAGACTTAGACACGTTTACGTCTACACTTCAGGGTTCCAAAACTTTAGACACGTGCTCCATCTCATAATATACGTTTAGTCCAACATTACCCAGCAGTTCAAGTTTACAATTCAATTTAGGTTAGGCAGATGTGATTTGGAGTTGGTTTCATACGTGTTGGATACTTTTTAGACCCACACAAGGCTAATTGTTACCTATATCTGGCCTTTCTGAAATTTATTTTCGTAATTGTGTAAAAACTTTCCCATACATCCAAAAGTATTTTAAAACTAGCTTTTACCCGCGGCTTCGCTCGCGTCACAAAAGGATAAAAAGTAGCCTATGTGACATATACCAATACATACAGCGCCATCTATACCAATACTTTTGTTTTCCCTCGGGAGTATCAAATTTTTTCGGGATAAAAAGTACCCTATAATTTAATCCAGACTACTAACTTTACCTGTGCAAAAATTCAATGCAATCGGTTTAGTAGTTACGGCGTGAAGTCGGAACAAACAAACAAACAAACAAACTCACTTTCCGATTTATAATTAAATTAGTTTTAAAATACAATAATCTATTTAAAATGAGCAAATAAACTAGTTTTCTCGCCTTAAAATTACCGAATTGAAGTAAATTAATATGTCGAAATCCAAAAATTAAACCTCCTTGCTCCGAGCAAGGGTAGCTCGCCACCACCTCGAATCAGACTCATGCGTACTGCGTCTCGGGTTCCGCACGCCATTCAAAGAGATATCAGACCACCATAGATGGGGCCCAGTAGGGCTGATGCCCGATACGGAGCCGCGGAAGGTCTAAAGGGTTTGCGGGGCTCCAGCTCGAAGAGCAGGAGTAGGGGTAGGAACGTGGTGGTTTTTATACAGTAAGACGACAATGGTGCTGTAAGATCTTCCTTTGTAAATATGTATTCTTGCAAATAAATGAATTTGAATTTGACTCTGATTGCCTTGGATTAGACGAGAGGGAGTGCCTCTCGTCTAATCCAAGGCGAGAGAAGTCATTGCATAATTTTTCCCCCTCATAAAAACACCCCTTGCTCAACAATCTTATCTGAACTAATGAAGTAGTAACAAAAGAAATAAACTATTAAGACTTTGACTGCCAATACAAAACTGTTAAAGGTAAATCCTCCGCTAACGCCGGTAACCGATGACCCCCATGACGTTTAACGTGTTAATTAAATATTTGATGAAGTAACGGTATCTCTAGAAAGTTCTGAACTGTGTAATAATAGTTTTAATTACTTGCCTCTAAGGAAAAGACCTAGAAATTGTCGTTGCACCTAAGTAATTGAAAAGTTGAATCTCTAGTGCTTCTTTCATCATCTCTACAAATTCCTTTGGAAAAGTTTTATAATTAATTTCTGTTTACTTGTCTTTTTAAAAGCTTCACATAGAGAGGAGTAGAAGGAGGGCAGAAAATAAATAAATAAATTTAAATGTTGAACACTACCTACACTACTACTACTACTACACTGTTTCCACTTTCACGTACTCATCACGCTTAAATCAGGAACAACAACGTCTGAACCATACAAAAAATTGTATTTGCTCAAACCAGTCGGTTTTTTTTTCACCTACTGGTAATCTAAGACTGAAACGGTAGTATGTAATGTCATAATAACTATTAAGGGATATAATAATTATTATTAGACTTTAAAAACCCCGTTTCTTTCTTTTGCAGGTCTCAGACTCAGGTGTCAGAACCTTAGCACGGAGGTGTTACAAGCTCCGCTACCTAAATGCTCGAGGATGTGGCGCACTTGGAGACGACGGTGTGGAAGCCATAGCCAGAGGTTGTTCTAGGCTTAGAGCCCTCGATCTAGGCGCTACCGATGTCTCCGAGGCTGGGTTACAGGTAAATATTTGATACGTATGTACGTGTCTATTCTCGTAGCAGCCGGTTATGATAAAATTGTTTGGCGGTTTTTTTTTATGGCACAAGCCGGTAAACGAGCAGACGGATCACCTGATGGTAAGCAATCGGCGTCGCCCATGGACACCTGGAACACCAAAGGCATTACAAGTGCGTTACCGGCCTTTTGGCGATTAGGAGTTTTATGATCGTTGGGGATTCAGGAATTGGGGAGATTGGGTAAAGGAAGGGTAATTGGGCTTCCGGTAACCTCACTCACATGACGAAACAACGCAAGCGTTGCTTCATATCGGTTTTCTGTGAGGCCGTGGTATCACTCCGGTAGAGCCGGTCCATTCGTGCCGAATCATGGCTCTCCCACACTTAAAAATTAGTCCAGAATTCAGAGTATAATGTCGTCAGTGAAGCTACTATAATATGGAGGTCTTACGTTTTATTATCTTCCAGATCCTAGCACGATGTTGCCCAAACCTCAAAAAGCTGGCTTTACGAGGTTGCGAGCTGATTGGAGACGATGGTTTAGAAGCCGTTGCTTATTACTGCAGAGGGCTGACCCAACTGAACATCCAGGACACACCAGTGACGTTACGAGGGTACAGAGCGGTGAAGAAATATTGCAAGCGATGTGTTATTGAGCATACCAACCCTGGATTCTGTTGAAGAGTTAGTTCAAAATATTTTGGTCTTGAAATGGGAGTTAGAAGATTTAAGTCCTAGAAGACTTTATCTGGATGTACTTTGGATGTTCTGACTTAAATTAAAATGTCTTCTGATTAAAGCACTTAGCTCAAGATGGCAGAAAGGCATTTTTGCACACATTTTCGAAGAAGAACATGCTTTTAGTTATTAAGATTCTTCTGTTATTCTGTACCATTTGAAGGTTGACTGGTTAGACTCACGAGATAAACCCATTTCTGCACTTAGTGTAGAATGCTTAATTGTAGTGTTCAGCAAAACGAAAAGTTTTGACTTTGCCATACAAAAAAGAATCATATTTGTGGTGGTAAACGTGTGCAATTCGTTTTTCAATATTGAATATTTAAACAATATTGATGTCGCCTATCGCCTTGTCTGAAAGATCTTGGTGATAGAGATGAATCAGTTGTTTTGGTTTAAATACCTTTCCTATTTTCGTATGTATGTATATAAATGAGTATGTAAAATGTTAGTTAGGTACTAATATAGTTTTATATAAATGTAAATGCTTTAAATATAAAATAACTGAATAAGGTAAAGTTTTAATGTAATTTTAATAGTTTGGATTGTATTTATGTACAGGGTACAAAATTTATTTGGATTAAGAAGAAAATTGTAGGTTGATAATTTAATGAGAAATAAAATAAAAAATATAACATTGTCATAGCAAAATATTTTTCTGTATTTTTCACTCCGAGTCAAAAAATTACGAAAGAATCTTAGCAATTTATTAGATGTTTCTGAATTTATTTCAATATGCAAAAAATAGTAGATACTCTTTGTAAAATTAATTATTTTATAACAAAACGTAATGAATTTGGACAAATAATGTGCCATAGAATATTTTGTTCTAAATTAGATTAAAATTACAATCAAACAGTACAAGTTTGGACATTCAATTAAATGTAAGTTGCTTTTACTAGCAAAAACTACTTAGAACAACTTATTTTTTTTTGTTACATCAATAGATTTTGAACTTTACCAAGTATGATTTATAGTAGTTAATATAATTAGTAACAGCTGAAAAACGTATACTAACATTTCAAAGTCCATCCCAAATTCTACACAAGCGCCCTCTACTGACATCGAAAATATGAGTGAAACTTTACTATTATAAGAACTAAAGTCGTTTTTGCTATTAGAAACAACATTAAACTTATAAATATGTAATTAAAGCTGATATCTTCAAAAGATATGGCGATATAGTATAAATAATTTCTCTATTAACTGGATTGCCATTGTTGATTTAGTGTTTATTATTAAATTATATTTTTTAACAAATACCTTTTTTGGATTTGATTTTAAATTGACCATTGACCTTTATAAACTTATTTTTATTCTGTAAAAACGTAAATATTTTGGATCTACTATTTATCAAGTCACGCACCGAGAGATAGACAAGCGTCCTTTTGACTTTCAGCGACCTTACTCCGATCTCCAAACCTGTAAAGCGTTGGAAAAGGGATGATGATAGGGTATGAAAATTAAAAATTAAAATAGTTCGTCAGTTAGGAAATGAAAAAATATTAGACACGTATTTTTTATTTTGTCGTATAAGAAAACAATCATTAGATAAAACGAATCAAAGTTTAGGTTTGGGAGGTAGCTACGTCATTTTAGAGTATAAATCGTACTCAAAAGTAATTTCATGCGATATTTTAAATCAATATCAATTTGAATGCACGGTTGGTGCGGTGGCTGGGCAACCAGCTGCAATTCGATTCCCGCACGGGACAACACTTTGTGTGATCCACAAATTGTTGTTTCGGGTCTGGGTGTCATGTGTATGTGTACTTGCATGTTTGTAAACGCACCCACGACACAGGAGATAATCCTAGTGTGGGGCAACGTTTTTTAAAAAGAAAAAAAAAAAAAGAAAAATATTATCTTCGAAACTATTCGTTTCCGTAAGAATATAAAAATTATGTCCACGTGTCTAATGTATATAAATATTTTATTTTTTTAAGAGGGGATAATCATCGAATGACTGCTCCCGCCTGGGTGAGGCGGAAGGGAGTGTCAGACTCTTACTGACTAAAAACCACCCCGTTCCTTCTCCTGCAAGTCGAGCCGGAGCCTCGGTTACCCGTTAGGTTCTCCGCGACATGTGTATAAATATTAGACATGTATTTTTGGCCAGACAGAGATTACAATAAAAATTAGTGATCTACCCTATTATGAAAAACCGGTCAAGGTTAAGTTTGGATTCTCTAAAGAGAAGAGGAGTAAGAGACTTAAAGCATTTTAAAATACTAGTGCTATTAGTCCCAACACAATAATAATATGTGGTGCCACAAATGCCATACTTCGGTAACCAAGAATTTGAAAATCGACTAACATAGTAAAACCAGTAGGTTGGGATCGTCGACTATAGGATAACCAGGCAGTACAGGTAGGTTGGTATAATATTATTACTTAAGTCATCAGTGTCCTCTACAGTATAGTTTATTAAATATTTAACAAGTTTATGAAATACGTAACAAGTTCATTCAACCCGCATTATCCTTACTAATATTATAAATCGTAAAGTGAGTTTGTTTGTTTGTTTGTTTGTTCTACTTTCACGCCGTAACTACTAAACCGATTGCTTTGAAATTTTGCAGACGTAAAGTTAGAAGTCCAGATTAAATAATAGAGTTCTTTTTATCGCGGAAAAAATTGATATTTCCGAGGGAAAACAAAAGTATTGGTATAGATGGCGCTGTGTGTATTGGTATATGTCACATAGGCTACTTTTTATCCTTTTGTGACGCGAGCGAAGCCGCGGGTAAAAGCTAGTGTCTTCATACATAAAGCTCTCCGTAGCTTAGCGCATTCTAAGCACATTATTATAATATGTGGGTCACCTAGTGAAGATAATTTTAATTAAGAGTCATATTACATTAGCTCAGTGTTGGGATAATGTGGTATTTGATATCTGTATAGTGTATAGTAAGTAAGTTCGTGCATATAATAATATTATTTTGTAAAATTTTAGTTGAGTATGAAAAGGACTCTTACAAATAATAGAAAGAAAGAAATATATACATTTATAGCCAAATCGGCATTATTGCCAAGTCATAAAAAAACATAAATTTAAATCACTATATCTACTTGACTAAAATGCGATACAACATTGATTTGCAAACATATAATAGTTTTTATCACTGAAACCTTACAAGACGGCACTGCACGGGTAACAACCCTGTGGGATTGTTTATTTTTTGAAACCACGAAAATAAATTCATTTCGCAATAAATATATCTTAAGTATTGAATCGATTCTGATGATATTGGTTACAGTCGTGCAGCCGTAGAATACACCTAGGCAAAGACTAATTCAAAACCCAATTTCTATCAGAAGTCATTATTTTATGCGGACGAAGTCGCGGGTAACAGTAAACACAATAAAAATAAATAAAATGTAAACGAAACAAACAAAGTGAAAAGAGAAGAAAAAATCTATTACCAGTGGGTTTTTTTTAAGGGGGGAAAATCATCGAATGACTGCTCCTGCCTGGGTGATGCGAGAGGGAGTGTCAGACTCTTACCCAATTTTCAGCACTAGCCCGTCACTATAATAATAATATGAAATAAATAATATTGGTAATTATACTAAATTAAATAATAACAAAGTACTATTACAAAATTTGAAGTAATATTTAGACCGAAAACTAATGAATCGCGTTACGTTTTCAGATACAAAAACCTGAGACCATTCATTCTACTACTCGAAGTGAGAAATGAAACATTTTTATTTAATTAACTTTTAGAACAGTACGCCACTTTAAGACTTCTCTGACGGCGAGCTCTGTTGTAAGATTTCATTTTATTACTTTTCTAAGTAAAACGTAGGAAAAGAATAGAATGGTTTTCACGTACCTGTGTATAGGTTTTATGTGTATTTTAAAAAATAAATCCCTCTGTTTCTTTCTTTATCTTTAAAACAGTACGTTGCCCCACACTCTTTTCTTGTTTTGGGGTGGAATATCATCGAATGACTTCTCCCGCCTGGGTGAGGCGGGAGGGAGTGTCAGACTCTTACTGACTAAAAGCCACCTCGTTCCTACTCCTGTACTTCGAGCCGGAGCTACTGTGTCGTGGGTGCGTTTATAAACATCTGATTTCACATACACAATACACTCACACCCGAAAACACCAATTTGTGGATCACACAAAGAGTTGTTCCACGCCGTCTCGGTCGGTCGGCCGGTCCCATTCAAAACGAGACGTCTGGCTACGTTACTCATAACTCCTCTGGTTTTGCGGGTATCATTATACACTGTGCATTGCTTACCATCAGGTGATACATGAACACATTAAAATCACCCTGTTCCATAAAGAGACACATAACATAACATAACATCACGCCTTTTATCCCCGAAGGCGTAGGCATAGGTGGACATTATACCACTGTACCTCTACAATGTAACACCCACTTTTCACTATTAAGTTACGAGTCCCATGTAATAGGGGGTGAGCCTATTGCCATATACCGGGCACAATTCCAGACTCAGTGCTACTAATGAGATTTTTTTAAAACCCAGTAATAGTTTGCCCGACCCGGGAATCGAACAAGAGACCCTTAGCCCGGTAGTCGCACTTGCGACCACTCGGCCAACGAAGTAGTCATAAAAGAGACAAATTCCGTAATGACGTCACGGCGCTTCAGCTTAGAGTTCTATTTATTGTCAATTTTCAGGATAATAAAACTGGAGTCGAATTATAAGGAACATGAGAACAAAAGGGTTGTATTGTTAAATAAATTGGATCATCTTCAAGGAGTATTTGTATAGGGCTGTCATGTGAATAGAAATGTTATAATAGGTTCGTTTAGATGCCAAGATTTTTTGTATAGAAACTATATTACAATAGATGGTATAATTATTGTTTACTTTTGCTATTGTATTCGTTGTTGTTTTGTCTATCTGGACATGACGAGGTTTCCGTAGGTATTGTTTTACGATATAATATTCTATTTATAAT